CACCAAATCTGAGAATTACCATTTTTTTCATAGATGATGGGGTTTGGATTATGTCCATTTGAAAACATGAAATGGTCTTAGATATAGCAATTAAGAATCTGGTACTGTATGTGGCTTCGCCCTCGGGTATCAGAGCTTTTACTATGCTTAATAGCAGACCATAGCAATAGATATCTCCTTAGATTGTTCTTTTAGTTGCCTTTTAATACTAAAATAATCATATTCCTTGAAATCAAAGCTTCCTTTGATGTAGTTGATTAGGGTTCTATACTTGACCCATGCAATTTGTTTTGCTGTAATTGATTCATATCTATACAATCACAAAGCATGTGATACTTTTTCTCTTTTATTTTGAATTTATTCCATATATTATCTCATGCTGATGTCAATCCATCTTGTTTTAGGTCTCTTTCATGGACACTTTTTATCAAGTGAGATATATACATATACATGTACATGTACACACACACACACAAAAGGTAAAGTTTCCTCTCGCACATATGTGCTAGTTGTTCCCGACTCTAGGGAATGCTCATCTCCGTTTCAAAGCCGAAGAGCCAGCATTGCCTGAAGATGTCTCCATGATCATGTGGCCGGCATGACTAAATGCCAAAGGCACATGGAACACTTACCTTCCCACCAAAGATGGTTAGTATTTTTCTACTTGCACTTTTACTTGCTTTCAAACTGCTAGGTTGGCAGAAGCTGGGACAAGTAACGGGAGATCACTCCATTACGCGGTGCTAGGGATTCAAACAACCGAACTGCCAACCTTTTTGATCGACAAGCTCAGCGTCTTAGCCGCTGAGCTACCGTGTGTCCCTCCATAATATATATATATTGTTATAGTCGAAGTTAAGAGAATGCAGATTTGTTTTTCATATCCACAATGGCCACAATTGTTAGAGAAAATTCTGCTTTTGTTGTATGTCTTTGTAGCCGAATGAGACAGAAATTCTGTCCAATTACTTGTTTCATAATGTAGATAATGTCAACATGTTTTACTAATCCTCCTTGTTTGAAAAATATGTCATAATATTGTAAATTATTTTTTCCTTACAATAACACATTGAAAGGGTGGGCCAAGAGGGAGTAATTGGTCTACAAGCAGCCTGGAGGGCGGGGAGTTTCCATAGTTCAGGAGAGATTTGAAACTGGGTCTTTTAAGAAACCCAGGGTCTCCTTTTAGCTAGGGGAGTTGTTGAATTACCAAAATCCAAATAACATATCCAGAAGATATGTGGCTATATTCCTACACCACATTAGCCCATGATTAATTAAATTAGCCATGGTTTATTGAATCAACCAATTGCCTGGGTCTACATCAGATTTGATGCATAAATTAATCTTACTGGCTGGATCTGCATAAGATACTGATCCATAAATAGTCACAGTTGGTTTAGGGTTCTGTTTGAACCCAGATAATGGCATCAAATGCTCTTGAGAGATCCAGAAGAATTAACTCTCTCCTCCTCAAATGAAAATAAAAGTGAATTATTTTGATTTCTTGTTGTCTCCTGATTTGGAAAGGATAAACTGGAATGGATCTGATTCTAGCCTCTTTTTTCTTCTCACAGATTTGGTGGGCAAGTAAGAGATCATTTGATACAAGAAAGGTTGCAGCAAACTTTGGATGTTCAGAAAATTATAGTATGTATAGCTTCCAAGTAGATGTGGAAAACAACACTTTTATAGTAAGTACAGGGTACTTATTTGTCCTTACCATCAGGGCTCACAATAACCCTTTATCTGCCAATATCATAGAAAAGTTGATTCCATGTGATGTGTTTTCCTGAAACATTCTCTGGATCATATTTACAATATTACAAAGTGATAGTATTGCATTGGCTGAGTTTTCATCAGGTTGAGACAACACTAATTATGTCTTGCGTTTTAGTGAGATAGTATATTCTGACAGTGAAATTATCCCAACTCATAAACATTATACGTTATAAATAATGCAAAGCAAAAGAACAATAAGAGAAGAGATTGAAAGTTCATAATTCAAAGGGAACTCAGAAGCCATTGTGAAAGAATCTTGTCCCCAATTGTGAAGAAATAGCCTATACTAGCAATCATACATCCTGTCTTGCATCATGTAATTCACATATTTTTTCCTGCAGAAGAGACCTTCCTTGGCTGAGAATCTAATTAAAGTTTAACTTTTGGTAACTATGGTACACAATATCATATATATCAGCTGCCAACTGATGACTGTCAAATACTGGGAAAAAGAAGACTGGTAAACAGCTTTAAAATTTAGTACTACTTCCCTTCCAATGCTAATTGCTTAATATTGCTTTTTTTCTTCATTAGTCAGCCATTATATTTCATGTGAAAACTTGTTTAATGTAATCCAGGCTTGGGATAAATAATCAGATGTTTTCAGTTGAAGTACAGTATGTGCTTGAGTTTCCTTTTAGTACATGATGAAATCCAACAGTTCTTTTAATAAGAAATTGTTTTACTACTAGTAAGGGTGGTTCTTTACCTATGTTGGTTGAAAATGGAAAAGGGAGGTTGGAAAGATATTGAGTAAATCAAGACTGTTCAAATTATAGACGAATGTAGTTTGGCCCTGAGGCTAAAATCTAGCCAAATTTATACAGCACACTAATAGATAAACTAATGATACATACTGGGTTTGTACAACACTCAAGTCTGAAATACGGCTGGATATTTTGTAGTCCAGGGAATTCATTAGAACATGCAGCACAAATATAACCATGTTAGTTACAGAAGTCAATTTGTCAATTGTACTAGGTTCAAAAATGTTTATGCAGATTGATTATATCTGAGCAAGTCTGTTCTTGTTGCTTTTAATGGGACTTAGGAGTAAGGTTGAAATAATTGATTCCAAACATTTTAAAATTTGGAAGTGCAATCTTGTTTCAGTCTACTGTGTTCTGTGATTTGCTATCCCTCCTCAATTTTTCTCAAGGTTTATGAAAATTAGATATTTCTGTTCAAGCCAAGAGATTGTAGGAAGTTATCACCCAGCTCTCTCCCAGAAAAATGAAATACCCTAGAAAATATTGAAAAGGCAGAATATTTCTCTGGATGTGAAAAGGAAGAAACATGTTTCAAAAAGACAAACTCACTCTCCCTGCAGCTTCCTGCCCCCACCCACTTTGTCAATGGGCTATTAAGATGGCCAAGCCAGTCCCTTTACATAATAAAAGGTTCTCCCCTTCAGCTCCAGTGAGATGGGATTAAGGCAGTGATGTGCGGTGAGGTTTATGGCTGGTGAGGAAAAAAGAAAGTGNTTAGAAAATTTTACTACTAACAGAGATACAAAAGTGGGCGGTAGGTATAAAAAGGTTGACTACCCCTATAGATAATGAGAAACATCTTGAATAACACCCAAAAACAAATAGGCAATCAATGCAGCTCACAAAACAGAGGTATTACATAGGCAAATGAGGAATGCCAATTACTGAGAGTGGTAGTGGTGTAATGGTTAAAATCCTATATTGCAGGTTAATTCTGCTGACTGCCAGGAGTTCAATCCTCACCAGCTCATGGTTGACTCAAACTTACATCCTTCTGAGGCTGGTAAAATGAGGGCCCAAACTGTTGGGGGGAATGTGCTAACTCTGTAAACCGCTTAGAGAATGCTGTAAAGCACTGTGAAGCAGTAGGTAAATCTAAGTGCTATTGTTATTGTTATTGTTACTGCCCATGCCAGCTGAAGCTTCCAGATGGTTTTCAAGAACAATTCCATGTACAGAACAGTCAGCCACTATTAGCATATTAAGACAAATAATTATTTAACAATAGCACTTAAACGAATATACCACTCCATAGTGTTTTATGGCACTCTGTGGGCAGTTTACAATGTCAGTACATTGGGCCCAACAATCTGGGTCCTATATTTTATAGTTTATCTAGGGTTATAAAAGTTCTAGTCTGACAGATTTCATTTCCAGCAGAAGTGCACCATTGATACAATAAACATCCAAAATAAAAAATTAGCTAAGATCCATCTAAGAATTGATACCAATTTGATGGCACATAATAAGATTTACAAGAGAAAAAATGCTGAGTATGTTCTCTTATTTCTTGAGGCTTGTCCCAGTTGTATTCTTAGTATGTATCTCACTTGTTTTCTTGTGTTAATTAAATATTCACAACCTTATACAAAAGGATAAGTTCCTATGGAGTGTCAGAATTGCTGCAGTAATTTGTTAAGCACCAAGTTCCTAGCTTTTGCAAATTAACCATACACATTAACCAAGATTTTTAAAAATGTTAATTGCAAATTATTATTAAATGTGAGCTAACAACAGTATGAAAAGGAATTGCATTATACACATTACAAGGTATCTGTTACCATTCTTGAATGTATCCAGTGTCAATGTGCAGAAAGCATATTCAAGGGGCTTTCTTAAGATTGTCATTCAGGTTTGTGTAGGCCTATGTTAATTCCATGAAATGGCAAGCAGTTTACAGTGTACAAAAGTATCGGAGGTATAGTTAATTTAAAAATGATTTTTTCTGCATAGTATCAGAATTTCTATGCTGCTTTAGTAAAATATGAACAAAGTATAGAAGTAGGCTTATGGCCCAGATTTGTGGCATGTTGTACTGATGAGCAGTTACTTCAAGTACATAGAAAGTACACTTGCCTAAATAAAATGTTTTGTGGAAGTTACCATACTGTGCTAGGCATAGGATGTGAATGTATCACAGTGATCTAATATTGGTGTTCACCATAATTGGTAGTATATTGTAGAGATAATAAAAATATTCCTTCCATCTACATCAATGTACTTCTCTAATATGATTAGTGATAGACAGATTTTAAAGCTTTCTTTTTATTGTGTTGTTCTACAATCTCTATTCAATAATAAATTCTAAGAAAGGGCATTTCTTTGGAGATGTGTCTTTGGACAAAATAGACCTTTTGTTCTGTCAGTTTCTATAAACACTCAATCTCTTCAAACCTTTTCCCCTTCTTCTCTCTCTCTCTTTCTTTCCTTCTTTTTCTTTCTTCCCAGGACGGGACACTAATGTTTTAGTCTACATTAAAAGGAGACTGGCAATGTGTGCGAGAAAACTGGGGAGAACCAGGGAAGCTGTGAAAATGATGAGAGATGTGAGTTTGGATTTGTGTTAATATTTGTCTTTTACGTAACTAGTCACAACCACAGAGAGGAATTTCCTTTTACTATAGGACCAACCTATCTATCTATGTAAAATAGTGCTGATATCTAGAATGCTTAACCTGCTTTCTCTTTTTCTGGTCCTTTTCCTATCATCCTCATATTTCTATACAGGGTGAAAGGCTGAAAACATCCTTGGATTTGTGCCCTTTCTTGTTTACTGCTCCTGTCTTGTCTCGTTACTTTTACATGGAACTTCATGTTAAAATCTGATTTTTCTTATGAATTCAAGATCTATATAAGGAAAATTGTTGTGTATTATGAAGAGTATGAGGAAGGATACTATTAAGCAAAGGATCATCCCTGATTTTACCATAATAAGCAGAAAAAAATAAGCGGGAAAAAAGATTTTTTAGAAAATTTGGTATGTAGTACTGAAGAAGGACGTTTATATGACCAATAGATGCAGTTCAACTCAGCCCCTGAGGCATATGTTGTTAGCTATGGGACAGTTTTGAGGATGATTTTAAGGAATCTTGCAGGAGCATAAAGTACCCAATCCTGTGCCTTTCTTTTTCTTGATTTTGCCAAAATCAAAAACAAGAAAATGCACTGTTGAAAACCATGATTTTGCTGTCTGCTCGTACTCAGGGCCACTGTGGGAAACAAAATTGAATGGAGAAAGTGCAATAATGTTATTGTGATCTACTAAATGAAAAGCAGGTTAAACAAATACAAATAGTATAAATTACAACTATTTTAACTGTTTTAAATGGAGTGGGACAGCATAATAAATCTAAATAATAACAGTAAAAATACAAAATTGAATATGCCTATAATTAAAGATAAATTTTAACATTATCATTTTTCCACTTTGGGAGGGAAGCATACATTATTTAACTTTCATGGCCACTACCCACATGACCTTTGCTGCTTCCCTTGATTTTGTGGATGGTGAATTCTTATTCCTACCTTTGCTTTTAATATTGTATGATAAAATGCATAGAATTTAGGAACATTCTATTCATTGTGTAGCTGGAATCTTATCTTTAAAAGTAATCCAGTTTGCTTTACCTCTTCTTATCCCTCAATTTGAAGAAACTAAGGTTGTCCCTTTAACTATCTAGCATGAGAAAAACCTAAAAACATTTTGGTGTCTTTGTTTTTTAGTATAGGTAGTCCTTGCTTAAGGAATTGGAATCTCAAATTATTGAGCAAAGCAGTTGTTAATTGCTTAACTCTTGGCAATCCTGACTGTGGTCCTTAAGCAATCTCCTGGGTCATTAAGTAGAGGAGCAAAAGAATTGCTTAAAGAATTTCAGCTCCATGCGGAGCTTCATGCAGAGCTGAAATCCTTCTGGCAGGCAGCCCTTTCCCTTCCAAATGTTCCTACAGCCCACCAAAGGATTTCAGCTCCCTTGCACGCACAGAGGGGCTTTATGGGGCTGCAAGAACGAAGTTGAAATCTTCAGGATTTTAGCACTGTTCTGCAACTTGCTAAAGGGTTTCCTCTTCCTTCCATGCATTCTTCCAGCCCCACAAAGGATTTCATCTCCCCTTGATCCATAACCATGCTGAGTATGGTAAGACTTTTGTGATGATCAAAAGTGCTTTAGAGACCATATCAAAGGTGGGTTGCGCCCGGTTTGGCTGAACTGGTAGTGGTATTTTGGCCTAGGTCGCAGAACCGGCAGCGACCCAGGCTGACAACGCCCCCGAACTGGTTCCCCGGTTGCCACTGCCGTTGATGGCATGTTATTTAGTAGTCTGCGTACGAGCGCAGTTCACTGTAAATTGTTCTGCGCATGTGTGCAAGAAACGTGCAAGAAGCAAACCAGTAATAAAATCGGAAGCAACCCACCTCTGGATCACATGGCATCCTTTCCAAAGCTGTCATTAAATTAATCCAAACAGTCATTAAGTGATTAGTTGTTAAGTGAGAACTACATGTAAAAAATAAAACAATGTATGTCAAATTCCTTAGAAATCAGGGCAATTTTTTTGAGCTACATGCTTTTAAAAATGGTTGCTTTTTTTAAAAAAAAAACCTGTTAAATTTTTTGCTTTTTACAAAAATCAGCCAAAAATTTATCAGAAAACTGAATTGCAATTAAGAGATTAAATGTGCCAAATCTGTTGAAACTCAATGCAGGGCTTTCAATGCTTGTTTAATTTCTCATTTAAAATGTACATAATTTGTTTGAGTGGAGAATGCAGTGAAATTTGCTGCAAAAAATGCCTCAGAGTGATAAATATATACTGTATGTCACTCAAATTTTATTCAGAGGGATTGATCAGTTTTTGTGCAAAAGATAGATTGGAAAGAGGCAATTATCCTTTTAGTGAATTTATTACAGCCAACACTTATGGAGGTTTCAGAGAAATACAAGAAATTAATATATTCATGTTTTGTTTAAATGAGAGCATTCCTTAAACCACGGGTTCCCAAGCTGTGGGCTGCCACCCATTACCAGGTCATGGTCTAATTGCCACTGGGCCATGGGAGTGGCTGGCTGGTGGGTGTGTCTCTGCGTGCATGCACAGCCCCACTCACGCAAGCATCCTGGGTGCTCACGGTCTCACTCATGCGAGCATTGTCACAGGTGCTCGCGGTCCCATTTGCACTAGTATCATTGTGGGCAATGCCCCACTCGCGTGAGTCTCATCACAGGTACTTGCACCCCGTTTGCAAATGTTGCGAGTGCTCACACGTGCACACACATGTGCTTGCCCCTCCCACAAAATCATCCCCTCTTTTTCCTCCTCCCACCTCTCCAGGATGCCAACAGAGAAAGGTTGGGGAACCCTCCCTTAAACCATTTGAGTAGTAGATAAGATAACCATAGAATTGCTTCTGTGAATTGTTTCTGTGAATTGCTTCATAGAATAGAGCTTCAATGAATGAAGAAAACTGAATGATTAAACAATATTTCTCCCTCTAAGTCTTTCCATCCTTGCAAAATTCCAAGATTGGTATAATTTATATAATTTGATCACAAGGATTCTTTTTTTAAAAAAAATCCATAAATATTTAGATCATATTCTCTGATATCGTTCAACTTGTCGGAAATTGTTTGTCCTCAATAAAATTTTAACATGTCAGAATGTTGTTATGTCCTAATAAGTATACTGGATGAGCTGTTTATAAAACAAGTTTGCATAACTGTGGAACACTACAGACTTTTTCATCAATAGGAAAATGAAATGGAACCTGAGATTCTTTTCAGTCTTGCTGTTGGTATTAGGACTCTTACAATGAAGCTTTAATTAAAGGTTTCGGTCTATCCTTGTATGCAATTTCATTATCTCTATATCTAGGCAAGACTTCCTAGAATTATTGACAATTCTAGTTCACATACAGGGACACCCTTCCTCTCCCCTTCCCCCCCCTTTAAAAAAAACTGAATAGTATAAGGATCATAAATGGACCCTGTAAGATCAAATTGTATGTCAGGTTTTTAATGTTTTTGTTATTGGTGCGCCTTAATTTACTCATAATCTCCAAAAATAAACTTTTATATCGGTGTATGCATTCTTAATTCCAATTGTGTTTCTATAAGTAGCCTTTTTCTATAGTATCCAAAAGCACTAGGTTGTTATGGGCTGCTCTAGAGTGTTTTGTAACGAAAATACTAATTTCACATAACTTGCTTTCAGAATCTACATTCCAAGCAATGATATAGGTTGCCAAAGCGTGAACAATGATTCTTAATGACAAGAGTATAGAAAATATAGTAAGAAACCTGGAAACAAGCACCAAAGAAACCAAATGTTTATTAAAACCAGGAACTCTGTGCAAGGGGTGTAGGAAAAACAACCACAATCAAATTACATGACAAAGTCTTAAAAGAAATGCTGTTTTGGGATTTGGAAGTCAAACTACATAGCAAACTAAATTGTGTATTTCCATATGGTTTAAAACAAAGGTACCATAAATAATTGATTATTGTGTTACATTCTCGGGCACCTGTGGCCCAAGAATGTGCCAGTGAAAACGGGCTCCTGAGCTCCGTTTTCAGCTGGGATGGCTTACTGCAACCTTCTGCCAACAAAAATGGAGCTCAAGGGGCCTTGAGAGCTCCGTTTTTGGCCTTGAAGGCCTCTTGCAACCCTCTGCCAGCAAAAACAGAGCTCGGGGGGGGGGGATTTCATGCTCCATTTTCATCTGCAACGGCTTTCTGCAATCCTCTGCCAGCGAAAACAGAGCTTGGAGGGCCTTGCGAAACCCCTTTTTGGCCGTGAAGATCTCCTGCACCCTCTGCCAGTGAAAGCAGAACTTGGGGGGTGGGGGGAGGCTTGCGAGCTTCATTTTTGGCTATGAAGGCCTTCTGCAGCCCCCTGCAAGCAAAAACAGAGCTTGGGGGGGGGAGCTTACGAGCTCTGTTTTTTGCCCATGAAGGCCTCCTGCAACCCTCTGCCAGCGAAAACAGAGCTCGGAGGACCTCACAAGCTCTGTTTTCGGCCACGATGGCCTCCTGCAGCTCTTTGCCACTGAAAAGAGCTCCATTTTTGCTGGCAGAGGACTCTAGGAAGCCTTCACAGCCAAAAATGGAGCTTGCATACGGCCCTCCCAAGCTCCATTTTTACTGGCAGACGCACTGTGGGCTGTTTCCAGGACAGCCCTGAAGGCCAGATTTAAGCACCCTTGTGGGCTGGAACCAGCTCTTGAGTTTGAAACCCCTGCCCTATAAGGTTACCATGTAATTCAGTTCAATTATTCAAAATTATCCTGACAGGCAGCCCTTTCCCATTGAAATGTTCTTCAGCCCACAGAAAGATTTCAGCTCTCCTCCATACAGATGAAACTCAAAAAATTAGAATATTGTGCAAAAGTCCATTTATGTCAGTATACAACCTATATATATAAGCCTTCTTCAAAATTGGACTAAATTGATATCTTTTCTTTTTGGGCCATGGGTGTCTAAACTTGACAACTTTAAGATTTGTGAACTTCAAATTGCAGCATTTCCCAGCCATGTGCGCCCCTTTCTAGGCCAAACTCCAACAGGTGACATAGTTTTTGCAGTTTTTGTGTTTAGAAAAGTGTAGTTTTTCCAGTCCAGGTTTGGCTGTTCCTTTCTCACTATTTTGTGATACAAGTATCTCAAGACCTAACAGGACATTTATTTTCATTTTAAAACATTTACTGTAATAGGCAGAGCAATATTTAAATAAATTTTGAAGCTGACTTCAATGTCTTAACTCAATCCTGGAAAGTTAATAATGATAAAAATGTAATATTTCAATGTAGATATATTGACCCTGAATAAGAAGGATTAGGCATATTTTATCTAGTTAATCTTTAGCTTTTCTACATACAAATGGCTCTGGAAAATGTAATTTAATGTGTTAGTAAAATTAAAATACTCCTTTCGGATCTTCATAAGTAAAATTAGCAACACAAGAGCTGCGAATATTACAGACAAATGAATATTAATAAGGTGATCATGATTGTATATCCCTAGAACAAATGTCCATGTATCTTGAATGGGGTCAATTAAATCTAGCATATTCTTGCTATGTTTTGATTATTACCGTTTTTAAACCAGCTTAGTTATATTTTGCTATAGTTACTCATCCATATAATTATAGTTTGTTGGTATTTGCCAACTATTTTAATGTCAGTTGTTTTATTTACGTTTTTCTTCAGATGGGCCTTAGATGTTATTCTGCTATCCATTTCTTGATTTTTCCATCATTTCTCAATCCTTCTTTTTTCTAATTTTTAAAATTGACTTCTGAAACCCACAAATAAAGAGGAAATGTGGTAGTAAAATGTAACATTATGAAAAACAATTTTTGCATATTTTATTAATTATTTTAACTATTTTATAGTTTTAAAATTGCAAGCCATCCAGAGTTACTTGGTTGGGATGGGTTATAGAAATCAATCAATCAAATAAATGAAGAATACATCATTAACCCTTTTCCTATGCTCCCTATGAGGAAATGATACAAAAATGTCTTAAGGCATGAACAATTGGGCTTAAAGTTTATCTTTAAAGCTAATTTTACCCTGCCAGCATTTCAGAATATACAGTTGATCCAAATCAGGTTCTCGGTATAATAAATGGAAGCCTAGTTAAGCCCAATTTTCCATTCTCTTAGTTGCAAGATAGAAAACTGATCTGTAAAATAAAAATGTTGTTCATCAGGTTAGAACCTTTGGTCCATCTAGCTTAATACGGGCTTTACTAGAAAATTTCAATGCATCTTTTTTTAATGCAGTTGTTCTTGGATTTATTAAACTAGCCATATATGCCGATATATTGTTTTCATGTTAAAAGTTCAGACAATGGCAGGAAGAGTTTATTAAATGTGAACGGTCATTATAATTTTATTTTATATTTGCCGTATAAAATACCATGCTAAGTACTAAGCCTATTTTCTTTCTTTCTTTATAGTTGATGAAGGAATTCCCTCTTCTTAGTATGTTCAACATCCACGAAAATTTGCTAGAAGCCTTGCTGGAGTTACAAGCATATGCAGATGTTCAAGCTGTTTTAGCAAAATATGATGGTAAGTAAAGTAGCTCTTTATCTACCCTGATACTCTGTCTGTATGGGTGTAAAACAAAGGAGAGCAATGTGCTTTAACAAAATCATGTTTTGGTTTTCTTTTTATTTGTTTTGCTGGATTTTCTTAAGCTGTAGTTGTAGCTTCCAAATAATTCATTTAATTTATGATACCTAGTGTTTAAATGTGGTAGCAGTGAAGGACAAATTCATCATTCTATTTTTTTCTTGGTGAGTTTTACTAATTCTTCTATGAATATTTTCTATCAGTGACTTTATAACTTTTTGCTTTACAAAAAAACTTTTTAATTTCATTAGAACCTAAGGTGAAGTTATAGGACTTAAGCAAGAACTGTTTCTTCCTTCCTCTTTTCTTACTTTAGAAGTGCCACTCAAACTCTTGAAAACAGGTACACATAAAAGTTTTCAGGAAGCCTTGGAGGAAGGAAATAAGGACTTGCCTAAGAAAGTCACTTTCTTCCAGCAGTAGCAGTTTGATATTGCAGCCACCAAAATTGCTAGCTGCAGAAGCTATAAATGTGGAATCTAAGATTGCTTCTGAGCAGAACAATTTCTCTTTCTGTTGCCTTCTTCTTAGCTAATTTTTGAAGGGCATCTAAAATAACCTGCTTTGCTAAACTTGAAATTATCAAGTTTAATACTAAGCCACCCATTAATCTTTTGCTGTTGGATGAAATATATGAGGTTTTTAGTAGTACGTAAATTAGGACATTGTTCCTTATCTTTATTGCTGGTGTTGGATCAGATTTTTAGAAAGCAGCAGACTGTGACATACTTTGTGTGAGGTTTTTGCTAAAAAAGAACTGCCACAAGCTTGAATAAGGAGGAAAAAAATTAAAATAAAGAGTTAAAACTTAACATGTTTTTAAGAGACAGAAATAGTGCCATAAGCACCACTGGGGTATTCATTGATAATCTCCTCTAAGCATACTGATGTAATATTTCTTCACATTTCTTAGTTGAAGTAGCCTTCTGAGATATTCTTTGGTGCTTGTTTCACTAACATAGCAAGATTTCTCTTCAACATACAGTATTTAATGCTCTATAAGACATTAAACTCTTCCAAAATTTGCTGTGTGCATTCTGAGAGGTGATGCAACTGCTGTGATCCTCAGTATGGTACTTAGGAGTTCTAGGAAAAGAGACCCCCATATGTCACCTTTATATTTGCTACTCCACTTGATTTGTTTACGTTCTATAATTTATAAAAATAATAAATAATTTGCATCATGAAAAGTACCTTCGGCATAATCTTTTTTCTAAAGATTTCTTGGTCCATAAATGGACTCCATAAGACGTCTTAGAAATTAAGTGCTGGAAGTATTCCTATCACCTTGGAAAAAGATTAGGTTTAGAGGAATATCGGCAGGGATAGAGGGCACTAGAGGGAATTGCATTTTGATAAATCTCCCCCATATGAACCAGGACCATTTGAAAAAAAAAACATTTTGCTAGAAAGTGCACAACTTGTCTTCAGAATTTCAGATATGTCCCCTAGAACAAAAAATCCGGTGGAGGAGCCTGCCTAGTTGCATTTTTCAGTTCTTTTCAATCGTTCTTTTCAGTTGTCTTCAGACATCTATTTTGATTTACTATTGAAGGCTTTTAAATGTCTTTGCTCAGAAGAACATTGTTTTTATAGCAAAAATATACTAAGAAAAAAGAAGTTCTGACTTTTTCGACAGCAAAAGGGGGGAAAGATACACAAACTAAAGGACTGGATTACATAGAATGTTAAAGTAACAATTGCTGAACTATAAACCTTAATTATATTTTCTAGTAACAGTACATATCTTATTGTTGGCATTGCTTCCCTGTTGATCTTGACTTGTTGCCAAGTGCACTATATAAATTGGCTATGTAATCACATACAATTTGTTGATAAAGAGCGCACTTGCTTGTTCTTTGTAGCAAAATCAAAACAATGGACTAGAAGTGTCAGACAGATTTAGTAAACTCTGATTTTAAAACTGAATAAATTCATGCTGCCTATTTATTTCATGGGTTTGCAAGCCATTTTTATTCATAGACAGCTCTAAGGACATATACGCCAATTGTATAATAAAGATTACAACCTATAGTTGCAATATGAATAGTCAATGTGCTGAAAAACAACCTTCCATACTCACCATTTCCATCATAATGCCACTATCTCAATAAGCAAGAGTTGGGAGTTGAAGAAGACTTCCAGGTTATAGAGTATAGATTTCCAGCTTAAAATGAGGGAACCAATCCAGTTCAAGACTAATGGCTCATTGACCTCTGAACCGACAGCTTCTCCATCTTGCAAGAAGTAAGCCTGAATCTGTCCATTCCTATCCAGACCCTGGCAATCCCAAAGCAATGGGACAGTGTTTTGATCATATATTCTGTTTGACCTGAAATTGAGATGAGCAATGGGTATCATGATATTTGTCCCTGTGTTGATGAAGCACTGTTGCTTAAACTATGGACAGAGAAAGTTGAACACTTTCAGTACTTTTCAGACTTGACCTCTCTCTCCCCCTCACTACCAACTGAAACAAGTCCCAGAGAATCTATAACACACTTCCTTTTCAAGTCCCAGAGTCAGTTCAAAATGATTTTATAATTGATGTGATGAAAGGCAACTGAGAGGTTGAAGAGGACAAGGAATCTTGCCATATATCATCCAGTAGAACAATTAAGGTGACCATATTTTCAGATTGGTAAAGAGGGACACCATTGACCGGGGGCGGGGGGGGGTTGATTAAAAATTTTATATTTTGTCGAAAGGTCACACAAGGCGATTATATGACCCCAGGACACTGAAAGCATCATAAATATGAATCTGTTGCCAAACATCAAAA